CTTTGCAATTTAGTCAGTAGAGGTCTACCCACTGCAAGTTCCAACTGATACATTAGCTTGATAGGGTTTTGAAAATTTCAGAAGACTGAAGAGAAATCACAAAGGAGAAATCACAAATATAAATGGAGCAATGCACATACTGCACCACCATGGATCATACACAGCCTCAGTATCTGGAATGAGATTGATAGTAGTTCATAGACATATTCTCCCTTGTTTGTTGCTTTACATACATTTGTGGGTTGAGATGAGTGGAAACTGCATTGAGATCCCCAGCATGGTGTCTATGGGCACCAGTGTGCTGCCAGTACCTCCTATGGTGTCTGCAAAAGATCTCAATACATATCCTATCAATACACGAAAGACTGTTTAGTCTTCCTGCCTATTTACACTAACTTAGCCCCTCCTACACTGAACACATATCTTGAGCATGCCCCAATTTCATTGGATGCCTGGACTGGTCTGGACAACCATTCTCCTTTCTACTGTGAGCAGAGAATATGTGCAAAGAGCTTTTTTTCCTGTGAGTGAGCATGTTGGTGGCTGATTTGGATGCCTTTTCCACCATTGACTGGCAGGCTGATGGGAAGGAAGTCTGCACCATTTTGTGATCCTGTCTCTCTTTCTGCTCCTTCAGACATGGCAGTCATTTAGAGTTATGCCATACCCTATGACAACCATTTTTTGACTGGACTCTGTGGCACTTTCCAAAAGTTCCAAATGTGCCCACTCACACAAAAAGGTTGACAACTGTTTTCCTGTACCTGTTTTCCATTTCATGGGTTAGTGTAAGAAGTTCCTATATTGTTTAGGGGGGAAGATTTTTTTTTAATGCTTTATTGAAATAAAGAAAGAAAAACGAACAAAAATTCATCCAAAAAGTAAAAACAGTAATATATGTTACATCAGATCATGATGAATTCTTCTTATGACTATAACGACTTAGGAAAAAAGATTTCAGCGGTACCTTCCCACCCTCCTACTTCTTATTGCATGAGATCAGTGGCCCAAAAGAAGTTTCTGAGGCATCTGTTAAAATTTTCTAAAGCTTGACGAATCCGATTAGGCAGATTATACGCCATTAAAGGACAGGGCAATTTATCAAGGAAGCTTCTGGAAATGAAGTCTTTCCCAAAGGCCCAGCAATGCACAATATGATGTGCTTTTAGTACATGTGATACTGTATGATTGCAATCAGTTTCAGCTGGTCAGGAATATACCAGACAGCAAGATTGCCTAATGTTAAAACAGCTTCCCCTGTCTCATGACAGAACTTTTCAGAACACAATGCAATTCAGCAACATTGTTGCTGAGTTTAGATGCTTCGGCCTGGGCAAAAACATTTGAGGGATTTTGGGGAAAGTGAAAATATTTGCAATAAAGGTGTGTGTGTGTGTGTGTGTGTGAGAGAGAGAGAGAGAGAGAGAGAGAGAGAGAGAGAGAGAGAACCCTGATTTCACCTAATGGGAAATATAAGGTGAAGTAAAAGTTCATTGCTTAGATAAAACCTCTGATAAACTTTAAGGGAAAGCTAAAAAGAGTAAGAGTTATGTGGAAGATGTATGTACCAAATCCTTACATATGAGCATAAGAACTACTGGATCAGTCAAGCATTCAGTTCCCCACAGTGGCTAAACACTTCACGGTTCACCATGCATATTTCTCAGTACACAAACACAGAAAAAGGCAAACCAAATTATCAAAGGACTGGAGCAACTTATATATGAGGAAAGGTTCTATATGAGCTTTTTAGTTCAGGAGGAAAAATAAGTCAGGAGAGACAAGATACAAGTGTATAGCTGTATCATTTATATCATTTTAACACAACACTATACAAAAGTACATATGGAGTTTTTTCTTCCTGTCTCATAATACTGGAACTTGGGACCACCAGGACGGACAAGTAGTTTTTCATACAGTGCATCATTAATCTATGCAATTCACTTGCACATAATGTAGTGGTGGTCACCAACTTGAATGGCTTTAAGAGTATTAGACTAATTCATGGAGGATAAGGCAATCAGTAGCTACCAGGCTCAGTTGCTATGTTGGAGGCAGGATGCCTCTGAATACCAATTACAGTGGTGCCTCGGGTTACATACGCTTCAGGTTACATACGCTTCAGGTTACAGACCCAGAAATAGTGCTTCAGGTTAAGAACTTTGCTTCAGGATGAGAACAGAAATTGTGCTTTGGCGGCGCAGCAGCAGCAGGAGGCCCCATTAGCTAAAGTGGTGCTTCAGGTTAAGAACAGTTTCAGGTTAAGTACGGACCTCTGGAATGAATTAAATACTTAACCTGAAGTACAACTCTACTGGGAATCACAAGTGGGGAGTGGTGTTGCACTCTGGTCCTGCTTGTGAACTTCCCATAGGCATCTGGTTTGCCACTGTAATAACAGGATGCAGAACTAGATAGGGTTTTGATGTGATCCAGTAGGACTCTTCTTATGTTCTCATTATTCCACACAAGATGTGCAGATGGTGATTTGCTTAGTGCTTTTCTTATGTGATTCCCATTTCAAGTAGAGTGTCTCATCTCATTTATATCATTCCAGCTCAGAAAATCCATTTTCATATTTTGCAATGTTTTTAATGCTCCCGGGCAAGAAACTGAATGGACAACCAGTGAGATTGATTGAATGGATTCCAAGGTCACTGGACTTTGGTCCAGAAGATAGAACACCAGTGGCTTTTGGCATCAGGACTGCAGCATGCTAATCTTCAGAATCCTAAAATTCATATCACCTTCCATTGTCAAGCAAGTGACCCTAATTAAGAATGACAAGTTTGTTCTTCCAATTTGTCCTCAAGTATATTTCATTCCCACTGTAAAACTAGCTCTTATCATTCTGAGTTTTATGATTATCCTGAACTTAATTGTTAAAATCAAATGCTGCTTCTTGTGGCAGATTTGCACAAAACAGAAGTCATAGACAAACGAACAACATTGTTTATCATTCCAATAAGCAGGATGTGTTTATTAAATATGACAAGTGCAAATTTTCTTGCTTGAAAACAGAATCATGTACTCTGCTGCTAGAGGTTAGAAAGGACTGCAGCAAACAATAATGAAGAGAAATGAAAGTTTGGACCAAACATTCTGTTCCTATGTAAGCTAACAGGAAAGTTTCAGTTAACTTTATTGGGGCACTAATAGTTGCCTGGCAACATTTCCCTAAGTGTGTCATGTATCTGAACCTGAAAGTTTCAAGAGAAAGTTAGATGACACAAGCTGAGACGTGGTTTGTAGATATGACAGACCTTGCAAAAAGACATTTCTGGTCCTCACATATTATGTGGTGTATGAAACATTTGTGTGTGTTCCTGAGCAGTTTTTTAACTTTGTTTCATTACAAAATAGAATAAAGTGCTGTCTAAATGCAGGTACAACACAATTAACATTTGAAAGTAAATTCATCACTTGGAAAATAGCTTAACTATGGGTGTGATTGACCAAAGTAGTTCCATTAGTGCAAGAACTTCTGGCTGAGGAAAGGAACTTCCCCTCCCTCTCCTCTCCCCATGCCTAAATAAATTTGCCTAAGTAAATTTAAAATGACTTGTCAGTTTACATTGTGTAAAGCCTTTTAATGTGATTCACACTGTGATGTAATTAGAGCAGTAGTTATGAACATTTTATTATTAAAAGGTGACAGTTGTTCACAATAGGTCCATTGACAGCTACTACCCTGAAAACCTGGTGGATCATGAAAGCATGCTGTGTACTTTTGAGAACCATCTCCTAACACTCTCCTCTCCACTATTCCAAAACTGTGGTGGCTTCCAAGGGGTTGCTGGGATGTATACCGGTAGTTTGAATTCTCCAGCACCTCTGCTACTGAAGGGGATTCATTGGGGCACGCCATCTGGTTCATTTCTGCTGAGCAACAAAGTAAACTCCATACTCGACTAAGAGGAAGAGGTATGAGTTGGAGTGGGACTGTGAGTTTAGATGCTTAATGTTAGAAGGGTGCTTACCTTTACTTACCTGCTAATGACATGCTGCTATCCTGATCAGTCAGGTTACATTTTGTTTCTTTAGTATTTATTTACATAGTACATTAATGCTCCCGTTTTCTTCTGTTAAGTTGTGGGTGAACATATCAGACGACACAGCGATTCTTCAAACAGCTCTTGTTTATTCACAGGCCAAAACTGAACTGAACTGAAGGGTTCAGTCAGCCTGCTTATATAGAGCTCCAGAACAACGTACGTAATTGTAACAACTTTCTAAAACTATGTGGACCTGAACTATCTACAGTATCCCCCTGCTGGCCCAGGGTGAGAACTTCAGTACATAACACCTTCCATCGTGGAACTCAAGATGGCAGACTTCTCAGGCAGTCTTTCATCCAAGCACTGCCCAGACCAGACCTGCTTATCTTCAACAAGATAGTTGCATCATATTCCCCCCAGGCCATACCCTGGCACATTTTATATTCACCCTGAAATCAGTCACCTCCTATTCCCAGCTCACTTCAGTCAATGCAATATTTTATACAACTGTACAGGACAGATCTTATTGTGACTTATGTCTGATGAAGGCCCGCATTCCCGAGCACACCTGCAGACTGAGCATATATGCATGCTTCCTGAAAAGAACACACCGCCGACTTCATTCCGCAGCAAGTGCCACAGGATAGTGGCCATCCTGTGGCATTCAAGTGGCCGCGACACATTAACGTGGCCAGGCGGCAAAGGGGGGCGGGCAGCTTTAAGAGTTGCGTGGTGCAGAAGAAGGAATCCAATACAGCTTCTCCTGAAGCAGCGCGGCAATCTCCCCCTTCCACGCAGCCATTAAAGGCCCAAGGGCTCTTTTTCGTCTCGCCACCCTAAGCCCGAGAAGGCTCCCTACTATCTTTAGCGAGACCCTCCCCTCTGTGGAAGAAGACGCCCTGTGGAATTCGGCGGGGCTTAGTCCCATGTGTGCGGGGCCTAACCCAAACAGGGCAGCAGCGTAAGGGCGAGAGAGCGCAAGCCTCCTTTGCGCCTTACAGCGTCGGGCTGAGAGGCAGGGAGGAGCTCGAGCCAAGGAGGCGGCGGCTGTTGCTGCTCCTCCGCCTGCGCTGCCTCCGCCCCTCCATGGAGTTTTATAACTTGCCGGGTTTCCGCGTCCTGTGACTCCGGTCAGGTGGTTCCCTCGCTCTCCACAGTCGCCTGCGGGAGGACGCGCCTTCCCACCAGAAAAGAAGGAGTTGAACAAAGAAAGTTTGCCGAGCGGCCGCAGCAAAGCTCTGGGAACCTTTCCCTTCTCGCCCGGCTCCCCCTGAGTGTTGCTGGCGGCTGGGGAGCTCCCGGGCGAAGGCGGGCAGGCGGGCGAGGGGCGCGAGAATGGCGGGGGGAGGCGAGAGAGGCGGCGGCGGCGGCGCTGGGCTGCCGGAGAGCCGGGAGCATCTGTTCAAGGTGCTGGTTATCGGCGAGCTGGGCGTGGGCAAGACGAGCATCATCAAGCGCTACGTGCACCAGCTCTTCTCGCAGCACTACCGGGCCACCATCGGCGTGGACTTCGCCCTGAAAGTGCTCAACTGGGATAGCAGGACCCTGGTGAGGCTGCAGCTGTGGGACATCGCAGGTGAGGAGGCGACAGGCGGGCGATGCCAGATCTCGTATGGAAAAGGCGCTCTGCATGTGCTCGGAGGCCGTCCCTCGTTATGCGGGCTGTATGAGGTCTTGAGTAGAAGCTTGCTTTTGGTTTTGCTTGCTTGGATGGAAAGTCAGTGTGATGTAGTGGAGAGAGGGCCGGGCTTGTCCGGGGAAGATGCGAGTTCATAGTCCTGCTCACTGGGTGTATCTAGGTCAGCCAGTTTCTGTTTCGGCCTTAACTCGCCTTGTAGGATGGGCATGATCAATAGGGGAAGTAGAATTCATATATGCCACTCAGAGCTGCTTGGAGGGGAGGGTTATCCCAATGGGTCTGCCATTATTTACTTGTTGGGGAGGGGGAAGAGCCACTTTCTGCCTGTCAATTTTCTAAATGCATATGTTTGTGTTATGTGGAGATAGTCTGATAAAGTTTTTCATGTATGATTTTCCATGCACACAAGTTGTAGTCTTTTGTATATACCCACATGCAAGCAGAAGTACTAAGACTTAATGTGTAAAGTATGTATATGTGTAAACTTTTAAAACATGGGCATAGGTTAAAGGTCTGTATGTGTGACAGCTGTAGAGGTTGTGGGGGTTCGAAGATGTTTCTACTCTTGTGTTGCATTTTGGATTTTCCAGGAGTTATCGGTATCAGCTTAACTAAAATATTTCTAAGTGTACTTTTTACATTATTCCAGACTTCTGGTGAAGTGTGTTAAAAACTCTGGATTTTGGAAATGAGCGTTATTCTTTATGATTTATGGCAGTTGCTGTGTTGTTCAATAAAAGGTGTTACTTCTTGTTTTAGACAAACTTCTAGTAACTGTAAGTTGCAGGGAGCTTTTGATGTGGCATTTTCTTCAGTTGCTTCACTACAAGGGTATAGTCTTGAAAGAGAAGTCTTCCCAGTTTTGCAAAATTCGTTGTAATAGTATCTTCGGTTCCTCTTTTCCTTTGCTAGCTCCCAGTTTGCTCTACCTTTTAAGACTACAAACTGTTTTATATAGCAGTGGAATGCAAGAAGGATTTCTTTTTCATCTGCCAAGTTGACAACCTTCCAGTTATGGGATCAGCATTCTCTTCCTAGTTCCCGCTCCACAACTGAGTCCAGCAACCATTTATCATAGAGTGGGTCAGTTAGGGGGAACGCTACTATAACTACTTCTTTAAATTAAGAGGGGGGGGATTACAATGTGATTACTGCAAACCTTTTGCTCTTCTGACCTTTTAGTTGGTTGAATTGATCTGATTGCAGAGCAGCTTCGAATTGGGGGTGATGCATAGGCCGATTTGCAATGACATATTTGGATAGGCCAGATTGCATGCAGCAGCAGCATTTGAGCTTTGCAAGTGTACTTTAACCTGGGTGGCATCAGGCAAGTTGCTCACCTTCAAATACTAGCCTGTAAAAGTGAATCATAATGACTAACTTAATAAGGTTGCTAGGACTGTAAAGCAGCCTTTATAGAAACATACTGTTAAAAACTCCATTCTGATAGTTGATTAAAAATGAAGGCTGGTCACTTCTCTTTTGAACATTTGTGTTACCAAAGCAGTCACTAATATGGGGAGTATTTATATTGGTGTGATTTTTCCAAATCCGCTGGTAGCCTAGAAATGGTCCTTGTTACATATACTTATATTTACACAACCAGTACAATTTAACAGTGCTAACAAGCACCACCTGTAATTTCTCTGTTGCTGTTACTGCCTAATTTGGGGGTGGGATGGGGGAGTGGGTCTGATGATTGATCTCAGACTCATTTGTAATAGCTCAGCAAAGGTTTCTGACACCTAGTTGTTAAAGAGCAGCAGTAAAATGACTTTCGCAGCTAAATTAGGCTGTTGAATGAAACAAGCAAATCAGGAATGGATTTTTGTGTGAAAGAACTATGAACTTGATACAGTTTGGCATGGAAAAATAATTCCTGGACTCAGAATGTGCTCTGAGAGAACATGTTGATTAATTTTAACAGTATGTCCTTTGCATCTGATTCTGATGGGTAGGTCTTTGTGTTCTTCTAGTAAACAAAAAGTACATCTGACAAGCCTGCCCACCCCAGGTGTAATGGTTGAAAAAACAGAAACACCAGTGTTCAGTACATAATAAGTGTGCCCCAAGACGATATCCTGACGAAAAACTCACTCGAAAGGGTTTCGTTTTTGAGTCGTTCGCAAGACAATTTCCTAGGCTGCTTCGCAGACGAAACGTTTGCGAGTTCTTGCGGTTTGTTCCTTTTTCTTAAGCGCTAAGCTTAATAGCCGCTAATAGCGCTAAGCGTAATAGCCATATTCAGACGAAAAACGCAAATGAAGAGACTCATGACGATTAATTCGTCTTGCGAGGCACACGTATGAAGTCTCAACTACAGCCAACTGTTGCAAATGTTTGTTTCATCGAGTTCTATTGAAATTATCTTTTCAAGATGAGGTTGCAGATTGAAGTACTGATCTGCAGATATTGAGTGCTTTTGATCTAGTATTTTATTTTTATTTCTCTTAAGGCTGTTCTACAACAATAAATCTAAATACAACAGAACATGACAACCTGTTAGCAGTACTAATGAGACTGATGGTAAAGGACTAAGTTTCAGATATTCCACATCTTAACCTTTCCCAGACAGCGTCAGAGATGGGAATAGGCAAGACAAGGACAGGGATAAACGAAGTTATGCAGCATCCTATAACTGCCTTCATTCAGCACTCAGCGTAACTCATGCCAGCAGAGTCACTGGTGTAACTGAAATGCACCACATAGGAGTCAGTGGAAGGGAAGCTAGTGAAGGTTTGTGCTGGCCCCCCCCCCACCGCAGGAAAAAACAAAACAAAAACATGGCCAGAAGCAGTTAGAATGTGGCTTATGTTGCACCAGAGAAACACAGGCGTATCTTCCTGGTTAGAATTCCTTTGTGACTGTTGTATTTTCATCACATCAGGATGAGAGAATTGGCTAGTTTAAGTCTCTTGTCCAGTTAGTTCTGAAGCACAGTGTGTGAAGAACCAAATTCTGGTCTCCAAAGCTTTGTGTTACTTAATGGTCTGATCTTTCTGTGGTCTGGCACCTTTCAGTTTTCAGCTAATCAGTGCCATGAAATGTACTTGTAATTGGTTGCGCTTCATAAGTTAATGAAGTCTGTAGAGTGAAACATAACAATGCAGAGAATGCAACCTACCTGGCAAGGAGCCCGCTGAACCAGTGTGTTCCTTTTGTCAATCCCCTAGATGTTTTGAAGTGTGTCCAAAACAATTTTGCACTGCACTTTCTACAGAAGTGGTTACCCCAATAATAGAACAATATAAACATTGCAAGATACAAACACAGCGATCACGTGAAGTACTGAAACCATACGTTCTTGGAGAAACTACCAAAATGGAAAAAGCTGAAGTTTTACTAAGGTGGCTGTGTAAGTTCTGATTATTCCTTTTATGAGCAGACAAACTTTCATGCAGTGTTAGAAACTCATATATATATATATAAGCTAGGCTCCAAATGGCTCCTCAGACCAGGGTCACAATCACCCAAATGGAATGTCTTGTTCCATTTTTGGGCCAGACAACTTGGAAGTAGTATTTTTCAACACGACTTTTTGGTTCTTGAAATTCATTCTGATTGTGTAGATAAAATATAATGGATAGAATTCTACAGGGTATGTTGCTAGTGCAAAGATCCCCAGGCATGTACCTCCAGATGGTGGAGTCATCAGGTGCCATCTGTTGCCAAGAAGTAGTCAACAGCCAGGTGCAAAATGTGCCTGGCAACCTTTGAATTCTGCTTCCTTGCAAGCCAGTCCCCCTGTCTGCCCATAGAAAGGTTCAAGCCGTTCAAACAATTTGTACTTGCAAGATGCCATTCAAAATCTTGTGACTTACAGCCATTACTAATGTAACTTAATTTCAAGTGGATTTATTGTTACATACTGAATTTTGTAACGTGGGTGGCGTTGTGGGTAAAACCTCAGCGCCTAGGACTTGTCGATCGCATGGTCGGCGGTTCGAATCCCCGCGGCGGGGTGCGCTCCCGTCGTTCGGTCCCAGCGCCTGCCAACCTAGCAGTTCGAAAGCACCTCCGGGTGCAAGTAGATAAATAAGGACCGCTTACTAGCGGGAAGGTAAACGGCGTTCCGTGTGACCACGTGACCCGGAAGTGTCTGCGGACAGCGCTGGCTCCCGGCCTATAGAGTGAGATGAGCGCACAACCCTAGAGTCTGGCAAGACTGGCCCGTACGGGCAGGGGTACCTTTACCTTTACCTTTTTTACTGAATTTTAAGGCCAGGAAATATGTGTGCCCAAATTAGGTTACTGAGGCATCTGAGTTGATGATTGCAACCAGGGAAACTAAAGCCACTCTGACCCTAGAGCCGATTAACTTCTGAGAGAAACAAGTAGGATCTACAACAAAATATTGACATTGTGGAGTGCTCTACTTCTATTTTCCTGCCAATGCTTTCTTACAGGATACTCCAATCCATTATTAGCACACTAATGCAAAACTTGGAGTTGCTTAAACATACTGATGTTCCCTCTTTTCCTCCTCACTGACTGCACTTGAACTCCTGATGATGCTTCCCAGCTGAGTTTGCTATAAGAGGAAATAATGAAGGTTTGAAGTAGAGGTTCCAAGAATATTGGGGGGGGGGGTGAATGTTGAGCGTCCCCTGCAATGGGGCAAGCCCTTAACTAGGCTCTAATCTTGGTACATGCTAATGTGAGTGTCTCTGTTTATGTGCATTACAAAACCTCATGCTAGCACAAGGTGCCTAGGATTTCCTAGTTTACTATTCCAGCATAATTTACGTTGCTATCCATTTAAAATTGGGAACTAAGTTTTCTATGGGCTCTTATTTCAATGTTTGTTGATTTCAACAACTTTGTTTTTGTTTTTCATGATAGTCGGCAAGACCCAACTCTTTTAAATGTTAAATCATGAGGGGTTTGGGGTGGGAAGCTGAGGAAAGCATTTAGAAGCAAGTTGCATTAAATTCAGT